CATGGTCTGAATTAAAGCGGTTATGTTGTGCTGCGCAGCTTCTTTCCCCAAAGAGAGGCGTTGCATGTCTAGTGGAAGCAGGGAAGGGGATGGTGTTGGCTGATATAGTGGTTCGTCTTCGGTTGGTTCGTATATTTGAGAGTACGAATAGCGACAAAGGTCGTAGAATGCAGCCGGGAGTAAACATGGAGCATTAACCTCCCTCGCAAGGCTTATCACGGCCTAGAACGCGTATAAGTAACCGCTTCGAACTACAATGAAGGATGACGTACAATGGGAGAAGGATAGAAGTGGCCACCACTTGTGGCGGTCTCCATCTCGAATGACCGTGCCAGATCTTCGCGGGCATCCCATCCCCGCAATGTTGACGGCCAAGCAATGCATAGATGTGCCAAAGCCTTGGCTCGTAATGAGTCCACGATATATTTTGTGGACAGCCGAAGAATCCCAGCGACGACACGGAAATCCTCCTGATCATTGTTTCCAAAGTTCCTGTTCAACGAGAGTTAAGTAGATAGGAAACAAGAAAGATCGTGCAGCATACGGGCCGTCGTAAAGCGCGGCAAGAAAGTTGGTCACATCTTCCGCCTTATCGTGGAGAAATACCACAGGGCAATTTTCACACTCCTCCAACATAACGCGCGTATCGTCGAGACTGTCGAAACTGGACAACGACGAGGACCGTGGTCGCGAAGGCTGTGGGAGTGTGAAGATATCTCTAAAGAGAGCGGAATGACGCGACAATTGAGATACATGAACTCTGAATAGAGTCCTCTCAGCCTGGCAGATAACGCTCCCGTCCTTGAACCATAGGTCTGCGTGTCGCTGCAACTCCTGCCCGGTTTCCGGGTCGTGTATCACTGTACTAGATCCCGATCGAAGGTATCGGAAATTCGCCAGCCGCGTCTCCATAGGACTCTTGAGAGATGGCGGTTGGCTACGGGAACATACAGACACGGAGAGACCCTCGGCAGGGTGCGCGAGTGGATCCATGGAGGTGGGATGAGAAGGTACCATGTCGCTCTGATCCCCGGCCTGATTGGACGTTCGGCTTAGTCGTACAGGTTACATCACCACGCGACGCGTCTTTAATTTTCAATAATTTCCCTGTTTTTATTTCCAAATTACAATAACTCCCGCTACTCCTCCCGCTCTCCAAGTTGGTCTAGCAACCTCCTCAACTCTTCGGCTTCAGCAATCAGTTGTCCGAGACTCGGGTTTGCGTCCGCGTTGGGTTCTCTCTCGCGTGCACCCTCCTTCAGGCTGAGGTCCGAGACTGCCTTCTTCACCACATCTTCCCAAGTTAATCCCTCCTTCGTCAGCTCATCCACAAGCTGATCTTTGATACGTCGGCAAGCACCAGCACCATCGTAGCCGAATCCGGTATACACCTGGACGAGGGAGGCTCCTGCTTTCGCATAGTCAAGGGCGTCCGCGCCGGTAGAGATGCCTCCACAACCAATGAGGGGAATGCGGGCGGGCAGATTTTTTCGCAGAGTCCGGACAGCAGCGAGTGAATATTGTTTCAGTGGCGCACCAGACAAACCACCGGATTCCGATTTGTTAGCTGAGCAGTTGGTTAGTGTGGGTGGAGGACAAAAACATTGCCTTACAATCAACAAGACCTGCTGGTCTTTGCGTGGTAGTGTTACTCACGATTACCCCATCAATGCTCGTCTTTTCAATGACTGCGGCAATTTCGACCAGCTGAGCTTCTGTCAAATCTGGGGCGATCTTGAGCACTAGTTTGGGTTTGCGCGTAGATGCTGGCATCTGCTCCCTGGCTTGCGTGACGCCAGCCAGCAACGTCTCCAAAAGGTCACGATTCTGTAGCCCACTAATACAACAAAGTCAACATCACTCGGCACCCGCGCGAAGTAAGTACGTGCCGCAACCCTGGGGTATTCGGGCTCGACACGTTGACGACCAACACATCGGAATAAGGGCCAAATGTTCGCACACCAGCTACAAAATCGTCGATTGATTCCGCTGCGGACTCCTTGTTCTTCCCCAAATTGACAGCGAGCATCGCACCTGGGCGGAAGGCGGCCGATACATTTTCATCGGCAAAGAAACGGGGTATCCTTGCCCTCAAACGCGAAAGAACAGAGGCATGGCCTTCAGAGGGAAACCCATAGCGGTTTATAAGGCCAGAGTCTTCAGGTAAATGGAAAACGCGAGGCCGAGGATTTCCGGGCTAACTGGAACATCAGAAAAACTGGGTCGCGGCGTAGCGGCGTGTGACGCACCTGGGGCTTGGGCGTTACACTTCCGATTTCTACCCAGCTGAAACCAAGATTGAAAAGCCCTGCAACGCTTCTCGTTATGAACATCCATTGAGGGTTGAAGATAACATACCATCTATTGCCTCTCCGTTCTTATCAAAGCCGGCGGCTAATCCCACAGGGTTGGAAATTTCTTGCCCCCAAAGCTAGCATCGCGTGTTGGTCTTGGATGTTCGATACAATGTTATTAACCAACCTCTGATTTGAGCCGCGTGTCATCTTCTACAGGATCGCGAGGACCGAGACCACTTTTGAGGACCTGGACGGCAACTTTGTGACCTGTCTCGGCGTCCAGTGTATATCTCAGTAGCGGGGCGAAAACATAACGGTGGATGGCTGAGCGGGCATCGAGATAGTAAATTGTAAAAAGCCCGGCGGAAAGTACGAAGACGGTGCCATAGAGTCCAGTTCTAATGGGCGTGCGAGGGGCAGATGCCCGAGTGAATAGGCTGCGAGCAAGCGCAGAGCGAATGGCGCTCTGGTTGCACCGAAGCATCGAGCTGTTGTTGTTTGATGATTCCACGCGCCGTTGCCTTCAATTTCATCCTCAGGCCACGATCGTTCTAGGCATAGCTGCTCATTGCCCTGTTTCTCAGCTGATACTCGGAGTAGCCTAGAGCACTGATGCAAGAGACCCTACTACTAGACCGAAGACTCGGAGTCTCGGACGCTGTGCAGGGCCACGGGGACACAGTCCTCACACGAGCACCCGCCGCCCACTACACGCTCCCTAAGCTCACTTTATTCACTCAACTGCAGCGGATTCAGGATCTGTAACGTCCCAGGAGCATTTGAATTTGAACCCTAGACTTACGATTGTTTTGATCGCGTCAACTGCCAAAGCTAAAGCGCACAATTATTTTCATGCCCCCATTCCCTCTTTCTTGTCATGCTTTCTTTTATCCTACTATTCGCTGCTGCGGTTCGTCTTGCTCTTGCAGATAACATAACCGTGACGGATCCAACTAATGCCGTCCAATGTCGTGAGTTTTGCATGCATTTACTGTTCACCATACCTCAACCACATTTCTCCAGTTCCCTACACGTTCTCGTGGAGTGGAGGTATCCCTCCGTATATCGTAGAAGTGTCGTCTATGTACGGTCTTTTGTCGTTCCATCGTCATCGTCGGCGCACTAACATTGTGCAGAGGATACAACAACTTGGCCCCAGCGGTAGCCATTCATTCACCATTAACCTACTCATCTTATTTAACCTCAGCTGCAAATATTTCTCGATGTTAATGAGACGACCATAACCTGGAATCAGACCGTGGGTTTCACTGGGCCAGTTTTATTGTCCGTATCTCTATGATCTGCCACCTTCCCTCCCTTGAACCGCTCCTTTAGTACGCTCGTCGTTTCCGACTCTGCTGGCGCCATGGGTCAATCCGTCCAGGAGACTCTGGCTCTGGGCGATGTCACAGTCGATGAGGCGGGGTAAGTGTAATTAATATCCTAATTTTGATGTCTGTTAAGCCATACGTCCTTCAGTAATTGCCTCAATAATGCGACGTACATATTTCAAAGCGTCTTACTCAGGCACGGCTCATTTTTCATGTAGGTTGAGTGCCACAGATACCCTCACGGGCACAGCCGCCCCCTTTCGCACGTCAACGCCAGGTGCCCTCCAGTATGTGTTTCGCCGTTGCTGTTGCGCAGACCATGACTCCCCATGCAGGTCTGGATTCAGCATCTCAACTATCGTTCCGACCACTGTCGTGGGCAGCGCTGCGGGTGCAAAGCAGACGGGTGCGGCTAGACTGGGGAACAGAATGAGCTTGGGCGCTTCTGTTGTCAGTTTATTATTGGCCCTTACTTTGGCGTCGTGAACACTCCTGGTGTAAATAATAATTTATATCGCTGTGAAATCGCCCTGAACCCGTATTGCCCTAATTCTCATTGAATATGTTGGTCTTGTCGAGTCCACAGTGCTGACGACTAACAGGCACATGTGAGGGCCAAGACCTAACAAAATAGGGATCCTTAACGTATCGTACGCGACATAGAGGAAATAAATCGGGTTTAAACTTGTTTACTCAAGTCTAACGGGCGCGCACTTGTTGGGCATCGCGAGGATCTGTCCTGCACCCGGGTCTCACACCTCGGGCACTAAACGAAGAGGCTGCCGTATCTCCTGCGGTGCGCACTACGGCACACGCAGCGTACCGCCCCGCGCGAGTGGTTCGATCGCTCCTGAGACATCCTGGCGGAGCATAAAGGTCGAGGGGTAAAAAGGAGTTTCCCCCTACCTCACCTTTCACTGCTCGCCAGGTACGCCCATTATCTTTCTCTCTCACTTTACTGTACAATAGCATATTAAAGTTCTCGCTTACCCACCATCCTCTCCCTGATGCACTTTTAGTTAAGTATTGTATTCTCCGCGGTCTCGGTCGAATATACTCAAGAGCCCGTCGCTGGCCACGCCAGCGACGCGGCTGCGTTCTCGCTACCCAACTCGTCCCTCCCCAACGCAAGCCAGTTACATAGACTGAATAAAATTATATATATATATATATATATATAAGACCAAACAACCGACAACAGCACTACACTTTCTTTCGGATAAAGCAATTCCGTCAGCTACGATCACCGTCAAACAATGTTCTCTCCTTTTCTCGCCTCCCTGTTATTCGTTTTCTACGTTGAGTATCTCAATGTGACGGGCTCGATGTCCTCTTCCTCTGGTACCATAGCATGTTTGACTGTACCCCTGTGGGTTGGATGGCCGAGCGGTCTAAGGCGCCAGACTAAGGATCCGCTTCATTCTGAAGCATCAATTTCCATACGGAAATCTGGTCCTCCGGGGCGTGGGTTCGAATCCCACTCCAATCATCTTTTTGTAACAGCGGGGTATTTCTTTTTCTCAAGACACTTCCCTCATTGAGCAGGATTTGACTGCCCTTCGACTATTTTATGGAAATTCGGTGGTTCGTGGCCACCGTCATGACCACTCTCACATAAAGTCGGAAAATTCCCTTATTTGGATGAAAGCGTAGTGGATGTTTATCAGTTATTGGGCCATTTTTGCGTCGCCGCACGCCAACTTTTGAAGACGACCACTCGAGTTTGTCACTAGTATACAATTGTAGGTTATATTAGAAAAATCCCTGCAGACTCTCATCGTCCAGCTCTTTCAGCAGCTCCCGGGCCTCCCGTGCAGGGCGAGCGATGAATGGCTTGTCGTTGGCCGCACTCTCCTGTACTTTTTGGGCGACGTTCCTCAGTAGTGAAAGCTTTTGGAAAAGATTCGGCCCGGAGTTGTGGTCTTCTTCGTCTGGCGTAAGCACGGCGACGATTGCGTGTGAGGCCATCACTGAAGGCGGAGTGCCTCCTATCAGGTAAGTTCTTGGAAACATATCAGCACGTCGCCGAAACTCGCAAGGGAACACATACTCTACAAGAGGTCGGAGAAGATCGGGGAATACGGCCAATGCCGCCACCAGGTCACCGATGGCCTGAGCATAATGGTCTGTAAGGGTTCCAGTTCAATCAATCCTATTATACAGGGGGAAATGCTGACCATCGTGTGATTCCCTGAATGAATCGGTGGCGAGCTCAATACACGACTCTCTCGCCTTTTCACCTAAATGCTGGGCAGCACTCTTGACTACATTGCTCAGACCTAAAATCAAACTACTCCCAATTGCATCATCGTTCGACTTGATACCGGTCACCAATTCTGTCACGACGGGATCCACTCGTGGCTGACTACGCATCAAGACACCCAGAGCCTGTGCGGCCTTGTTTCGCACGACAATGCTCGCAGGATCGCTGGCGCTCTTGACAAATGTGCGTTGTAATTGAGGGAAGAAGGGCTTGACAAAGGCTGGAATCCGCTCAAGCATGGATGTGAGTGCGCTGAGGATGGCTGTCTTGACGGCAGGAGGGTAAGTGGTCGCCTGTGTAGCGACTCGAATAAGGGGACCAGTGAAGGGGACCACATATGGTTTGATGGCATTCTCCTCCGTGCGCTCAACAAGGTCTCCGATCGCATATGCGGCCTGTTCTCGCTGTTCGTTACTGCCGGTGGTCAGACCCGCGATGATGATAGGGACGGCAGGCGCAACGCCCTTCGGAAGGCCAAAGCCCGGCACATAGTGGCCCGGACCACCGGTGGATTCTATACTGCGGCGAAGGGGCACCACCAGGGGTTCGAGATCGTCTTTGGGAATGGATTTGACGAACACATCCAGCGCACTCCATGCCGCAGTATGGACCGGCACTTGTGAATCCTCCATTAGCGAAATCAACTGCCGGATCCAGTCAACGCGATATAGCGACGATTCCAGGCTAGATTCTTCACAAAAGATCGCAAAGAAATTGCAAGCACTGACACGACGCTTCGGGGAGTCGTGTTTTGCCCTGAATAGAATAGTGTCAGCTTGCTGTATCCCACATTGCTGCGAAACATACCATCCGAGCAGCAGCATCATCAGCGTATTGAGACCTTCGGCATCACTGATGGATGCAAAAAGGGCCCGGATAGCTTCATCCACAGCCGCCTGTAGCTCCTCGTCTTGGTCATCTTCGACGACCCGGACGAAAGCAGACATAATGACAGATAGACGCCTGCTCAACGCCCCACCAGCTACGGTAACCAATGCGGCCAATGCTCGAGCGTTGAAGAGGGTCATGGGAATAGCAGTCAGTGTTGGTATCAGTACGGGGAAGACGGTCGATGCTCGGACCTGTATAAGTACAATGAGGCTAGGATCACATATAAGTGGAACAATACTGACACTCATAACTTCCCGTAGCGCCTGAAGAGCGGTGCCGGACCCTTTGCCTGGTTGCCGAAGTGCGTCCAACAGGGTGGGTATGGTCTCGTCGATGGCTCTGGGTCCAAGATGTTCCTGCAAGATATCAAAGGCTTTCGCAGCTGCAGAGCGGACATTCGATTCATCGTCAACCAACGACATTCGGACAATAGAAATAATGTCATCTTCGTGGCCGTCGCGTTGGGAATCGGTGGAATTTTCCCTGTAATATATAAGAAAAGCGGATTGTGGAAAAACGCGCCCATACATGATTTCGCTCAACATCAAACAAACACCCTCGCGAGTCCTGGGATCCATCGAGGTGGAATTTGTACGGAGAATGGTCATGATCTCTCCGAGAATCCGATCACCGAACTTGCGGCATATTTCTCCGACAGTTCTGCCCGCGGTCTGGAAAAATGTTTAATAAAAAAGAGTTGAAAAATGAACCCAGAAAATTGACCTCCTGCTGCTCAAATTCGTCGCTTGAGATTAGGTACAGGATTTGCCGGACCAGTTCGGGAAGAATTTCGCGCACTGGCATTCACTTCAGTAACAATTACCGCCGAATAAAGCTCGAATACCTGTTCGCGGAGTGTTATGCACCAGAGCTTTCCAGATCTGGATGGATGATTGACGAACTACGCCAACTCCATCTTGGCGGACCAGGTACAACGCAGCAAGGATACGATCCCGGCGCTCCAAGCCCAGAATTTCGACAAGCGCGCGTCTGGAAGATTCATTCGTTGCCCCTTCAGCAACAACTTCGTCTTCTTCCAGGTCGGATGCCTTGCCTGATATTCCCGACACTTTGAACAGGAGCTCACCAACAAGCGTGATCGACGATTGCTACGGATACTTGGTTGGCCGGTATCGGAAGATTACGACGACAGTGACTTACCCGGATACGCCATCCCGAATCAAACATGCCATGTTCTAGTTCTGGGAGGAGTAGATCAATGGCCTTGCTGGCGTAGTTGGTGATGACAATGCGTCCAGCTCGCATTGCCGCTTCACGAACATACTCTTCGACATCTGCGAGACCACTGAGAATAGGGGAAATGATTTTTGGAAGATGAGGTTGGAAGCGCGGGCCGAAAGTAGCCGGTAAAAACACGAGTAGCGACATGAAACCTTCTCGGACAGTGGCGCGGGGAGATTGAGCGTTGGCTATAATATCGGGAAGCAAGCCTTCTAAACGCTCCATTCCGAGTCCGGACAAGACTTCACTCAATCCTTGTGCAGCACCTTGCCGATCCACACCCGACGTGTCCGTCTTGAGCGTTCGAAGGAGACCAGGGACGAGATCGGGGAAGTGGACTTCACCCAAGCGTTCAACAAGGGTTCCTAAAGCTTTGGCAGCTGTCGCTCGAGCTTCCGGAACGGGATCGACAAGAACTTGATGGACCATCGGCAACAACCCCGACAGATATGGGACGAAGTCCTTCGAGTCGGTCAGTGAGGCGAGATTACCAACGATCTGCGCCGCTTTCTTTTTAGTATCTGCGCCTCGCTCTCGGAGACCACGTTCAAGGATCGGTACCACCTATAACGACGATTAGCGAGGAGGAAGGAAAGTACTAAAACCACTAACTAGGGCTAGGGAGGAGTGATCAATATAATGCATGAACGATGTTTTGAGAAGCGACGAAAGGGCATTTGGCGTCTTGGCAGGATCAACCAGAGCTTTAAGAAGGACAGGGACCAACGACTGAATCTCGGGATTGGTGATAACCTCCCCAAACTGTTTCAGACTCTTGTTGGCGGCCGTCCGAACCTGGGCGTGCGAGTCGGTGAGAACACCCGTCAACCGTGGAATAACGATGGGGAGAGACAGCGAGAGTTGGCGTGGAGAGCAGTACGCCATCATGCCGAGAAGCTCTATGGAACCCTTCTTTGTCCGCCACTGTTTCTCGTCTAAACCCGAGAGCAATGAGGGCAAAATCAACTTGACTCCGTAACCTGACATATTTCCCATGATGATACGAGCGGCGTCTTGTGTAGCCTCACGCACATCTGCGGTCGAGTCGCCGAATGAGGTCAAAAGGAGGGGTAAAGCATATGTGATGTATGGCTCGAAGAGACGTCCCAGGGTGTTGGACAATGTCTCGAAAGCAAACATGGTTCCTTGGCGGGGCTCGTAACGTTTTTTATCCTCTGCTGCAGAACGGAGACGACGAATGATGTCAAATTCTTTCATTCCAGCAATCCCGGTGCCTTTAAGGACGCCGGCCAAACCGTACGCAGCTCCTCGACGAGAAGCGTACTTTGGCGCATTGAACAATTGATCCATGAGGTCATCGACGAGTTGTGCCACTTTGGGACGCATCACCTTGACGAGGGGGGACAAACATTCAGACACGGCCATCTGCACTTGCTCTGCGGGCGTTTTCAACGCATCCACCAGTCGCTCTACAATGGACGGCACACGAGAGTCCGCTGCGTCCAAATGGCGCGCCACACGGCCGAAGAGGATAACGACAGCTTCCTTGATTTGATCACCCGTTTCCGTAGCAGGGCTCGGCTGTCCAAGGTGATTCTCGAACATGGAAATTAGGACAGCGAGGCGGGCAGCACCGTGCAGGTCGATTATGGCTGTACCTGCACTAAGCATCCCTCGGCGGACCTCGGCTGTGCGATCACCCAAGGCCTCGTCTTGGATTAGGAAGGTAAAGAAGGGCTGAACCTCATCCTCGGGAAGTAACGGAGACAATAGTTCGAAGGCATGAGATGCTGCGACACGAGCTTGCCAAGGATCCGAACGATCCAAACTTGCAGCGATGACCATGCCCTGGGAATAATCAGCGTCGCATAAGAAAAGCATCAGTGCGGGACGCACATATTGATCAAATTCTGGGGCAAGTATCCTGGCCTTGTCACGATAGTACTCTTGCAAAACGCCCACCGTCGAATGGGCAGCCTGCGGCCAATGTTCGACTGATTCTGCGATTGCAGCGGCAGCGCCGCGTCGAACATACGCGTTGTCGTGTCCTAAAAATATCATGAATAAACAGTCCTGGTACAAGACAAACTGTAGATCTACCCAGAAAGGGGAGCAGTTGCTCGAGGAACGCC